AGGGCCAGGGGTTGGACTGGATGATCCTTGTGGGTCCCTTCCAGATCAGGAAAATCGTACAATCCCAAAGTAGTTTGGGTTGGAAGGGACTTTAAAAATAATCCAGTTCCAACCCTGCCATGGGCAGGGACACCTTCCACTAACCCAGGGTGCTCCAAGCCCCGTCCAACCTGGTCTCGGACACTTCCAGGGATGGGGCAGCCACAGCTTCTCTGGGCAACCTGTGCCAGGGCCTGCCCACCCTCACAGGGAAGAAGTTTTTCCTAAAATCTAATCTAAACCCACTCTCTTTTAGTTTGAAGCCGTTCCCCCTCGTTCTGTCACTCCAATCCCTTGTCAATAGTCTCTCTCCATCTCTCCTGTCAGCTCCCTTCAGGTACTGAAAGGCCACAATGAGGTCACCCTGTAGCCTTCTCCAGGCTGAACAATCCCAGTTCTCTCAGCCTTTCCTCACAGCGGAGCTGCTCCAGCCCTCTGATCACCTCGGTGGCCTCCTCAGGACATTCTGTGATTCTCTGACGTCTCCATGGGCAGCGAGTTGTGACCAAGTCCCTGCAGGAAAACCCACCCCAGCGCTTGCTCCTTCCAGCACAACTCACCGAAGGGAAGTGTGTGAGAAGCAGCTCGCCCAGGCAGCACAAAGCTCGGGGCTTTTTGGAAAATAAAACTCCTGTGGGAAGAGCCAGGGGGTGGCAGTGTTTGCAAAACCCTTCCCTTTGCCTTTATCCTTTGCAGACTGTGGGGACGGGCCTGGGCTGAAGGCAAAGCTGGTGACCCCTCCAGTCCCAATTATCCCAAAAAGGGTGTGTGTGTATGTGAAACAAATCAAAACTTACCAATTCACCCCTCTGTAATTTATTTCCACAATTAAACATCCCCGAAGTCTATTATTAAAGTGTAATGAATAGTATAAATTTTCATTTAGATCTTAATTCCCTGGCTCCCAGATAATCCCAGCTGCATGGCAGAAGAAAATTGCTACTTGCTTATTCCAATAGAAGGAGGAAAAGCCCCTTAAATCAGACATTATGTGGAAGCCTGAGGACTCTCCCCTACACCTCCAGCCTCATAAATGACAGAGCTGCAATGATTTGTCTCCATCTCATAACCCATTAACTTATTCAGCTGTTGTCAAAGTTCTTTACAGAAGGTAATTGTTAATTGTTGCCTCTGCATCGGTCCAGAGGCTTTTAATTAAACAAATAATAATCGGGATCCATCACCACCATCCTTACAAAAGGGTTTTATCTTCTTTTCTCAGATACCATCCCCATGGGCATCTACAGCTCCACAGAGAAAATCGGGCAGGCTTTGGATGCCCTTGACATGGAATTTTTCCTTGCTGATGGAGAGAAAATTGGGGCGCAGGAGCCTGATTTTATTCAAGCTGGTGACAGACAGGAATAACAGGGCTGGAGACAAGGAGGGCTTGCTGGTTCTGGATGTCAGAGCTGAAGTTTCCTGCAGCAGTTTCCAAGGTGGGAAATGGAAACAAGGTGTTCTCCCAGCACCTCAGCTCCTGCAGGATAACCTGGGGAAGTATCCTCATGGAACAGGGCGTGGGTTTTCAGTACAAGGAAAGTTACAGGGAGCGAGGAATAAAACTGCCCGAGCGCTGGCCTTGCCCTTTTTACCGTATTTGAGTGGAAAACAATTTCATTCAGAAGGCATTTTTAACACTTGCAATAAATGTCTCCTTTTCTACCCTCAATCTATGCTACACACAGGGGGAAAACAAAAAACAAACAAAACAAACAAACAAACAAACAAACAAAAAAAAGAAAATTCAGTGTAAAAAACCCGTAACATGCACATAAAGTTCAATTTTACACCCTCTGCCCTTCCCAGGCTAAGGAGCACAATTCTAATTACATTCCCTCCCAGTGCAAGGATGGTGTTCCAGGAGTCACTCTGAGCACCTTGGCTGGGCCAGGACAAGCTGGAGGTAACTGGAGTGCTCTCCTAACACAGGAGACACCAAGAACTGATGAAGCCCCAAGGCAGGTCCAGGCCCAAGGCCCTGATGGGGGTATTTGCCACTGTCAGAGCGCTGCAGTGCTGACAGATTAACTCGGCAACACCAGTTTAACTGGATATCTCCAGGTTTTCATCTCCTGATCCAAAGGAAACAGGAATATAGAATCAGAATCACAGAATGGTTTGGGCTGGATGGTCTTTAAAGACTATACAGGGACACCTTCCACTAGACCAGCTTGTTCCAAGCCCCGTCCAACCTGGCCTTGGGCACATCCAGGGATGGAAATTCTTCCTCCTTGTCAAGAATCTGCACCAACCAGAATTCTTTGCAGAGTTCAACAGGCTGAAAGGCCCTTTTCCAGCCAGCTGGGAACCTGCTACCAAAGCAGCAGGGACTTCATTTGATGCTTTCCCCTCCTCTGGCAAAGGCACAACAGCCCCTCACCGAACGATCCAGCCCTACCCACCCTGGCTGCCGACTGAGCTGGGCACGAGGAGGTAGAAAAACCTGACCCAGTTATTTCACAGGAACATTGTACCTGTTTTAGCTTCTAGGAACTGCTTCTGAAAGCAAACCAGCCCCCGTGTTTTTGCCTCAGCGAGGCTCTCGCTGCCGGTGCACAGTCCTGCCTCAACCCAAAGTGTACCAACTGCGTCGCCTCGGCTCAGGCTTCTCACCCAGTTATGACTAAGCCTTTTCAGAACAAGAAACGCTTCAGGATTTCTTGCCTAATTGCTAAAACAGGTTAATTTGAATATCCAGCACATAACCAAGCGGAAGAGAGGAATTGACACACCTAGCTGGTTCCTGCTGGGGCTGACAATTCGCTTTAACTGATGGGTCACTGTTTGGGGATGGATTTGCACCGAGGAGCTGCAGCAGGGGCTGCTGGGCTCTCCTCCTGCCTGCTGGGAAGGGCTGCATTCCCTGCAGCCTTCCAAGCACCAGCGCTCTGGGAGCTGATGCCGTCTTAAATTAAGAATGTAACCGATGCAAACCAGCAGGCGTAACCTTCAAAGCTCGAGGTTTAGCTGCCACATGTCACGGAAAAAGGGCCCGTGCCTTCCCCACATGGTGCCCCCCAAGGACTAGGGGCTGCACCTTTACCAAAAGGCCCCTTGGCTCCTGAAGTTCAGCTAAACCAGGTCGAAACTCCCGCTGCTCTGGACTGCTCTGATCACACGCACAGATGACACTCAGGATGTCGGGAGCAGAGCCAAGAAATCAGGGCGGCTGAGCCCGGCCACGCAGTGCCTGGCAACTCCCCCCCCTCCTCAATGCTACTCCAGTGGTTTTATTGGAGCCTTATCAGATTTCCTGGTGACTCAGACTCGGCCGGTGACCGGGGAGAAGGGCACGGCCGTACCAGCGAGCACAGATGGGGTTACAGCGCCGTGCTGGGCCAGAATAGCATTCAATGC